ATCCAATCTACAAACTATTCATAACACTCCCCCTTGGATGTCGATGTAAGATAATGTGCCTTATTAAGAACTTACAAAAAATATTGGGACGTACATAGTTATTTATAATATGCATTGGTTGCTGCCTCATTAAAAACCTTACCAGGAAAATCCAGTGGGATAAAACCTTGGTTAAGGAAAAGAGTGCAGCGCGTAGTTACTCCCCCTGATGAAAACATCACTTAATGTCTCGAAGACGACGCATTCCAATCTTGTATATTAGCTTTTCAAATGTTGAGGTTGGTAATGCCTTAGTGAACAGATCAGCTAATTATCACTTGAACGAACTTGTTGAATATTTATTTCACCATTCTTTTGAAGATCATGAGTGAAAAAGAATTTCGGTGAAATGTGTTTTGTTCTACTCCTTTGATGTATCCTCCTTTCAATTGAGTTATGCATGCAGCATTGTCTTCCTACAATATTGTTCGAAGAAAGACCACATGTTTCCTGAATGTGTTGAGTTATCGATCTCAACCAAACGCATTCTCGACTTGCTTCGTGAATGGCTATTATCTCTGCAGGATTTGAAGAAGTAGCAACCATAGTTTGTTTCGTTGAACGCCATGATATGGCTGTGCCTCCACTTGTAAATAAATAGCCTGTCTGAGATCGACCTTTATGTGGATCAGACAAATATCCTGCATCTGCATAACCAATCAATGATGACTTGGATCCATTTGAATAAAATAAACCCATATCAATGGTCCCTTGGAGGTATCTGAATATATGTTTAACACCATTCCAGTGTCTTTGTGTTGGCGAAGAACTAAATCTTGCCAATAAGCTTACTGAGACAGCTATATCTGGTCGGGAATTATTGGCAAGATACATTAATGCGCCAATTGCACTAAGATATGGTACTTTGGCACCAAGAAGCTCTTCATCATTTTCATGAGGTCGGAATGGATCTTTCTTTATATCAAGTGATCTCACAACCATCGGGGTACTCGATGGATCTGCTTTATCCATATAGAATCACTTTAAAATCTTTTCGGTGTATGTTGATTGATGGACAAATATTCCATCTTTCATATACTCAATTTGTAGACAAAGATAAAATCTTGTCTTCCCAAGATCTTTCATTTCAAATTCTTTTTTCAAACAGTCTACTGCTTTTGGAAGCTCCCCAGGAGTTCCAATGATATTTAAATCATCAACATACGCGGCGATTATAACAAATTCAGATCCAGGCCTTTTTATAAAGACACAAGGACAAATTGGATCATTCTTGTACCCTTATTTCAACAGGTATTCACTCAGGCGATTGTACCACATACGACCTGATTGTTTCAATCCGTATAAAAATTTCTGAAGCTTTATTGAACAAGTTTCACGAAAACTTTTATATGCTTCTGGCACCTTAAATCCCTCAGGTACTTTCATAAAAATTTCGTTGTCTAATGATCCATACAAATGGGCTGTGACAACATCCATTAGACACATATCAAGTTTTTCATGCACTGCCATATTTATGAGATACCTGAAGGTGATAGCGTCCACTACAGGAGAATATGTCTCCATATAATCAATGCAGGCCTTTGCGAAAACCCTTGTGCCACAAGTCGCGCTTTATATCTAACGACTTGATTTTTATCATTTCGTTTTCGCACAAAAACCCATTTATACCCTACTGGCTTTATGCCTTCAGGTGTTCGAACTATGGGTTCGAAGACTTCATGTTTTCCAAGTGAAGTTAACTCTGCCTGGATAGCGTCTTTCCATTTTGGCCAATCATTTCTCTGTCTACATTCATCGACAGATTTTGGTTCAAGATCCTCATCTTGTTGCATTATTTCAACAGCCACATTATAAGCAAAAATGTTATCGATAATAATATTATTTCGGTTCCATCTTTTTCCCGTTGAGACGTAACTTATTGATATCTTTTCATTCTCATTATTTTCAGGTACTTGGACCTCCCCTAAGGTCTTATCATTTGTTACATCTTGGGGCTCTTCTTGAGCTACTACCTCCGTGTTATGATCATTTTGATCATTTGCTCCTTTTCTTTTTTGAGGATTTTTATCTTTAGAACCAATTGGTCTACCACGTTTCAACGTGGCTTAGACTCATTTGCTTTAATTGATTGTCTACCGGAATATCAACTCGAATTGGAGCATTAACAACTGGAATATGTGACTTAGTCACCCTTGGTAGGTCAGTGAATGCATTTGGCAATTGATTTGCAATATTTTGCAAATGAATAATCTTTTGAACCTCTTATTCACATTGATTTGTTCGAGGATCTAAATGAGACAGTGATAATGCATTCCAATCTATCTCCCTTTTCAGCTGCTTATTTTCTCCCCCTAATGTTGGGTATACCATTTCATCAAAATGGCAATCAGAAAATCTTGCCGTAAATATATCTCCAGTCATCGGCTCTAGATATTTTATAATAGAAGGAGATTCATATCCAACATATATCCCCAACCTTCTTTGAGGACCCATCTTTGTGCGTTGTGGTGGAGCAATTGGAACATATATCGCACAACCAAAGATTCTAAGATGGGAAATATTTGGCTCCTGACCAAAAGCCAATTGCAATGGGGAGACTTTATGATAACTTGTGAGCCTTATCCGCACAAGTGCTGCTGCATGTGAAATAGCATGACCCCATGCTGAAATGGGAAGTTTTGTTCTCATAAGCATTGATCTAGCAATTAATTGGAGGCGTTTGATCAGTGATTCCGCAAGACCATTTTGTGTATGAACATGAGCAACCGGATACTCAATTGTTATCCTAGTTGATATACAATAATCATTAAAAGCTTGGGATGTAAACTCACCAGCATTATCAAGACGAATTGTCTTAATTGCATAATCTGGAAATTGTGCTCTTAGCTTTATTATTTGAGCCAACAATCTCGCAAATACCATATTGCGAGTTGATAGTAAGCACACATGTGACAATCTTGTAGATGCATCTACTAAAACCATATAATATCTGAATGGTCCACATGGAGGGTGAATGAGCCCACATATATCACCATGTATACGTTCCAGAAATGCAGGGGATTCCATCCTAACTTTAATAGTTGATGGTCTAATAATTAATTTGCCTTGAGAACATGCAGCACAAGAGAATTCCTTAAATTGAAGAATCTTCTGGTTTTTCATTGAATGTCCATGTGAATTCTCAATTATTTTACGCATCATATTAGAACCAGGATGGCCTAACCGGTCATGCCAAATAATAAAATTCTTGATTAGTAAACTTTTTGTTTTACTACGGCATGTGTTTCAATCCTGGTAATACTTGTGTGGTATAAGCCGGAGGAAAGAGCAGTAACATTTCAATTTCTTACCAGACATTATTGTAATAATGTAAAGATATTCAATCTTTTCGTCATTTGTAGTCTCAATATGGTAGCCATTTTGGCGAATATCTTTGAAACTTAATAAGTTTCTTTGAGATTAACTACAATATAATGCTTCATCAATAGCCAAATTTGTTCCTCCTGGTAGTAATAAATTGGCTCTTCCAGAACCTTCAATTAATCTTGTACTATCGGATATTGTATTAACATTGGCTTCTTTCATTACCAAATAAGAGAAATATCTCTTATCTCTTAAAATAGTGTGTGTTGTAGCACTATCCAGAGGACATATATCATCCTTATTAATCTTGAGTCCAACTGAAGACTGAGAAATTTTCATATTCTTCATAAAAAAATTAAAAAATACATTATAAGAAATATGAAAGACAAAAAAAAGAACATTAAGAAATACATTAGGAATGTAGAAACTAGCAACACATGATGCAATAGGAAAATACACTCAAGAAAAATAAACTAGTTGCAAACATAAAAAAAAATATCAACTTTTAATATAGCTTCATTCCCTAGTAAGATGATTAGTTCTTCAGTCAATATCCTCAAAGAAGTCTCCAGTTTCTAAATGAGTAATATTTGCTAGGCCTCCAAAATCATAATCTTTATATGCAAGATATGCCTCAGGATCATATTTGTTTGAGGGACCTGCTTCATCATCATTATTTTGAAAAGTCAAGTGTGCCTCCATATTATTTTCTTTCTTTCTGAGGGAGGCTTGATAAAGTTTGACAAAATGACCTGGCGTACGACAAATGCGTGCCCAATGACCTTTCATACCACATCGGTGACACACTAATTTTACCTTTTGAAGGATTAATTTGAGAACCCTTATTGTTCTCCAGTTCATTTTCACCATAATGACGATAATTGTTTCGTCCCCTGCCACGTCCACGTTCACGACCATGTCCACGACCACGGTAATTATTTTGTTTTCTTTCAAACTTATCATATGCTGCTACAGCATTCGCTTCCGGAAATGGAGCTGACCCAGTGGGACGGGCTTCATGATTTTTTATTAATAGAGTATTATTCTGCTCTGCCACAAGTAGGCATGTGATTAACTCAGAATATTTTTTAAAACCTTTTTCACGGTATTGCTGTTGTAGTACCACATTTGAAGCGTGAAAAGTAGAAAATACTTTTTTCAATTAAGTCCTCATCTGTGATAGTGTCTCCACATAATTTTAATAGAGAACTTACTTTAAAGATAGCAGAATTATACTCACTTACAGTTTTAAAGTCTTGCAACCTTAAATGTATCCACTCATACCGAGCTTTCGGTAATACTGTAAGTTTTAGGTGGTCATATCGATCCTTCAAATTAATCCATAATTCAAGTGGATCTTTTACGGTTAAATATTCAGTTTTTAACCCTTCATGTAGATGATGACGAAGGAAAATCATGGTCATCGCTTTATCCTCATTTGATGCTTCATTTCTTTTTATAATAGTATTTCCAAGACCTTTAGCGTCAAGGTGAATTTCAGCATCAAGGACCCATGATAAATAGTTCTTCCCGGTGATGTCAAGTGCCACAAATTCAAGTTTTGATAAGTTTGACATAGTGAAAACTATCATAAAAGATAAATAAGTTAGAGAAATAATTGTATTAATAAAAAATTAATGAAACAAACGAGTAAGGAAAAAAAGAAACGGAAATCGAGCTATATCATATAAATAACCTACTATTTTATTTTATTCTGTCCATAAATTGAAAACAACATACTGTTCACTTTATATTATTGATATATATATATATGTATATATATATATATATGTGTTAATAGAATTGAACGTGACTAACATTATTTATATGTTCCAATCCAATAAATATAAAGTAATTACACTAATGTGAAATTATTACTTGTCAATTCATTTCTCACAGTTCTTCAAAGTTCCTTAAAGATATGTTTTGATCCGGGAAGTCCATGGATATTATAAGTATGTCATTAGTGGGTAGCTAGTTTGATGACTTTGGGTTATATAAGAGTTGCCACTGAAAGAAATAGTTATTTTATCACAGCAATGTACTTAAACTATTCAAGATGCCCAAGAGCACAAGTAATCTGCAAAGAGTAAGCATATGATATGTACTACCATAAATAAAATGAATGTAGTGATACATACCTTAATAAAATATGACTCAACTTAGCGGGGTTAAGAATAAAATTAGAGCTTCGTGCTGATAACGTGTTATAAAATAAAAGCAATTCAGTAAAATATAAATAAGAAGAGACAGACAGAAGGAAGAACTCTTTTCTTCTTTTACTTTTTGTGTATCCTCCATTACAATTTACATAGCCTTTTATAGGCATAAAATGAGAAGACTTACTATTGTAAATAGTGAGTGGGATAGACATAAAGTAGGAGATTTCATCTGTACGCTATTCACATACAATGGCATCCAATCTACAAACTATTCATAACATGAAAAAGAATTTCAAGTGAAAATGGTATTTGAAAATTAGAGTTATGTTTGGACATGAATATACTTTTGGGTTGTTTTTGAAGTTTTATGAGTGAAAATTTTGAAAGACAGCTATTTGAAGTTTTTCAAATTTTCGAAAAATTCCAAAGTGCATCTTCAAGTGAAAATTAAAATTTTTATGAACAAACGTTGATTTCGAAAAAAAGTAAAAATTTTTCCAAAAAAAAGAAAAAAAATTCTAATGTCCAAACGGGCTCTTATTATCATCAACCACTGAGAAAATATAAAATGATCATGAGGTAATAATTTCATATTATTTGAATTAATCCATATACTCCCATTTTTAATAAAATTTTGGGTAGAAGCATACAAGTACTGTATTGTGCTTCTCCATGGGTATCTATGATATACTATAGTGTATTGAGTTTTTGTAAAGAGAATACGTGCGGGTTGTTTATTTTGAGAACATAATTGTATGTTTTTCCACTGTAACTTGGAAGAGAGGTGCACATACAATAAAATGTCCTTGCTTTACACTTGACACCATTGTTCTTCTTTTTTAGAACTTAAAATTCTTGCATAGTGGTGAAAAAGACAAGTTAATATCAATTATTTGAATGTTTGATAATCTATGCTTAAATTTTTAGTTCAAACATCTATTCTGGTGATTTACTGTAAAAATTTCAACATTTCATTGTTAACTTAGAAAGTGTTGAAGACAAAGTGCGTTTTTTCCTTAACTTGGAGTTATTTGACTAGATTGATGGTTGGAGATTGTTTATGTTAGTATTTGAAAGCTTGTCTCAAATTTTACAATCAGATAGAGTAAATATGACATAAACTCCGGTAGAGAAATGTCCGAAAAGCAAAAGTAAGACAATCAGGTACACTTTGATGGATAACTTAATCCAGTAGAGAGACCCCGAAAGAGCTGTGTGCAGGTCCGGAAGCCATTTTTTAAATACAGTAGAATTTTAGGATCTTCGACAACCAATTCCTTGCGGGGCCATTCCTCTCAATCTCCCAGTAAATTAAGTAGTAATCAAGATTGCTTGATCTGTTTAATTTGAGACCGCCTATACTTAGATACTCTATCGGTAGGATATTCTCTAAAAGTGCACTCAAACTTATTGGTTTACTTTGGAACCAAAAAGGAAGCTGTAAACTTTTTTATTCAAATTATTTGCAACTATTCTCGGGGAGAAGTTTTCCAAAAAATATCTAGAAGAGAAGTGTTCATTCTAAATTTGGGGTACCATAGGTCCCTCTCATTTCTCGAGTTTTAAGCTAATTTTCTTCTTTTAAAGTACGTATACGTATGACATGTATCTACGAAGTGGTCCCACAAGTAACTATGTCCCACCTCTGAGGTTTCTCTATGTTACATTTTTATGAATATTGAGGCTAGGAACATGGTATGAAGAAAAGAAAGCATTTAAACTCATTATGACGCGCATCAGCTTGAGGCAAACATTAAGCCGTTCCATGGTCGATCTACCTAGGTCAATGTTCACACAGAAGGTTTGACTTTGCAATATTTGACTGATCACAATTTTATATATTCCATTGTCTAAAAAAGTTCCCAGGGAATTCAGAGGAATGCTTCAATAAATTAGTCTCGCTTTACATACTTCTAGTTCAGAAAAATATGTGAATGTATTTAGAGCTAGCCGTGTTAAAACTATATTGGCGTCCAGAAAAAGAGCCACAATAAGACCCGTCACTACCACAACATGGCCCCTCAGGAAAGACCATTACAATAGCCAGCAAATGCATGACGAATATACATAGTGTTATGAGAGCACAAATCTAATAATGGATAAAGAAACTAAAAATATATCATATCCAAACAACTCTTAACATATTATGAGATAGTGAGATTTCACCTTATCTTCTAATATACAAACTTCTTTGATTAGGTATATCCAGAACAAACAACCTGTGATCTCCAAAGACCAAAAGCTCGCATGACTGCAGCTTCGGATCCTGTCCGTAAGCCACATGGTAATATCAGTCCCGCTTTGTAGTCCATACCTGTGAGATTGTTAGAAACAGAGACATCTACAAAGGAATAATCAGAGCCAAATTCGAGCACGGCATTTCATATCACACTCAAAGGTACAAACTATTACACAATATTGCCTTGGGGATGCTTAGACCTTCCTGAGAAAGCAAGTCTCATAGTATTCAATGCTTTTGAATCGACCTTCAAATTAAAGACCACAAGGCACAAGTGACAGCATGGTATTAGGACACTTTTGAATCGTATCTCACAGCTAAAATATTGTTTTGAAACAGGGAAAGGACTTATCAGCCAAACACTACCATTTGCCACAGCCATATTATATCAGTTCGATTGCACCATTGCAAACTGAAATTTAGACATATTGTGTAACATCCATGAAAACCACACATCATACCTCATTTCCAGGATGTCGCGGTCGAGTTAGTTGCCATTTCTAACTGATATTTGGCGTCAGCATTCACGGAAACCACACAAGCACTAGTAAAGAGTATTATGTTGCATGCAGGCAAGAATGTATGAAGATGACGAGGATATATAAGGCTCACCAACTGTCCAGAATAAATTCAGAAGAACCTTGCAAACACCCCTTCACACACAAACCTCTTATTTGGTTGAATAATGAAGTCATTGATGGACATCATTAACGAAACAATTTTCAAATGGAAAGGTGCTTTCATCATTACATTGGTGTAGACGGGGAAAAAGAAAATACTACAATCCTCTACAATACCTCCACACCAGAAATTGGGACATAGTCTGCTATCCATAGCGACCACACATGTGAACATCAGTTCCACAATCTCGAATTCGATTAATGGTAAGTGTGCAACCTTTTGTGCGAGTTAGGCGCAAATCACGGGTTCAAACCTTTCCGTAAATAGAAGCTTAGCATTCAACTGGAGATAGAGAGCAGGCCTATTATCCACAAAGTTTTAGACTTTGCACCACTGGCCCTCGAGAACTCAATTATCACAAAAAAAAAGGAAGAAGTTGGCCACCATTCCAAACTGACACCATTTGCACGCAGTCTGCTGTATCCATAAAGACCACAAAAGCGAATAGCAAATAGTGAAGAGTATTATGTTGCAGCAGTAAAAGAAATCATTTATAGACATCAATGATGGAATAATTATCCAATGCAAAAGTTGGATTATCAATAAATTGGAGTAGACATAGAAGAAAAAAGGACAGAGTCAGCATACATGGATATCTCACATGTTAATCAGAACCTTCTCCATGGCTCCCAAGTGGATTACCATTGCAAAGTGATTTCTTGAGTTGCAGTCTGCAGCATCCATGAAAACCCAGTAGCATTGGCTAACAACCAGATTATTACACTGTAAACAGTCATGGGGTATCAGCTGTTTTTTGATGATATATAATGGGTCATCAACTATCTAGAAAACAAGTTCACATGATTCTCAAACAGACACATTAATACAAACCTATAGTTGAATATTGAGTTGGAAGCCATTTATAGACATCAAGAACGGACCAACATTCCAGTGCGAAGATGGATCATCAAAATATTGTAGCAGATGTACAACAGACTGTATTTCCTCAAATCATCAAAAACACTGGTCGATCCTTTTCGCTGAAGAAGCACGAAAATAAGTTGTTACCGCCGTTTCTAATTTCCCATTGCATGATAAGCAATAACACCTGACTGAAACTTCTCTAGTATAATCAATCTGCCAACACAAGCACTAATCCATCTTGAGACATTTTATCTAGCAGCCACGTAATTCCTGATAAGTGATAGTAACTTTAATCAAACATGACAAAGAGATGGCCAAAAAACACTGACAGATTTAGGAAGGAGATTCTCTATTAAAATAGCTCAAGATATATAAGACAGACATTCAAAGGCAACTCCAGAAAACATTGCTACTGATTAAAAACCAGAGATAGACTGGTAGCACACTTGACACCTTCTCTCCTCAGTCCGGGCTTGGGACCGGCTGATGCAGGCGGAGTTACAACGGTCACCTAAGCACAAATTGCCCCAACAAGTAAATCAAAACACAAAAGGAAACACAAGAAGAACCATTGCTGGGGAGAAGGCAAGACAAGATCATATTAAACAAACAAAACAGACTCGAAGAAGATAATTAACCTTGTCAAAAAGACAGCCGAGGAAACCACCTGGAGATAAATGGATTATACAAATAGGAAATGAATACTGTGAGGAACAGACTGGGCAGTGACCTCCTAGGTTGAAAGGAACTGTTGCGAGTGCATTTGGGTCAATGACTGTACTTAGGGATACAAAGTGAGAGGCAGAGAACTACCTAGGAGAGGATCTAGGTTAAATTCATGACTCAATCGCAAAACAAATAAAGAAATTGAAACGATAAAATTTAGACTAGGCAATGACCTTCTAGATCACGTTCATAACTGAAAGAAATAGACACACAAATTCACACAAGTCAAAATCGAGATTCAAAGTCATCGCGCTAGAATACTGCTGCAAATGTTACATTATCCTGAAAAATTCTCAGAACGTAAATCGGAGATCAAAACCGACAGCACAGTGCTGGACATGAATTCCAAAAAAAATTCAAATTTAGAATTTCACTAAAATTTGAATTGAAAATGAAGTTGTGTTTGGTTATAATTTTTGCAACATATTTGGATGTCTCTTTTTCAACATATTTTGCAACTAAAAACTAGCAACCTTCCCATTTTTAATTGAAAAACTAATTCTCACCCGTTTTTCAAATTTGAAAATTCATTTTCGAGATTGAAAATCTTGTAAATTTTTTATAACCAAACACTGTTTGAAAAAAACAGAGGATCGAATTTTCTTATGTCCAAAACAGGCTCTTAATATAGTGCCCCCCCCCCCCTCCCCCTCCCCCGAGGAAATAAGTCTCGTGGTATTCAATGCATGGACTCTGCTTTTCAACATTGCTGGCTTTCTTTGGAGGATGTACCTAATCATATCTGCTATTTTGCTGAACGATTCGGATCCTAGCTGGGCAGGGTGAAGTCTATGGCTTGTTTAGAATTGAAGTGCATTCCATTGTTAGGTTGGGTCTTGGTTAGGCAACCGTGTTGGATACATCATTTCTCTCGTCATAGCTGCTTGTATAAGTGTCTTTTACTGCTGAGATTAGAGGATGGAACTTGAGAGGGATATAAACATGTGATATCTTTCTCGGGGTGTATGCAATGCGTGTCTAAGCGTATGTGCTGTCGATTGAGCTGTTTTAGATCTAGGGGAGTCTTATTTTATTACGTTCTTCTGTGTGCGAAGTTCCCCCCAAGCCTTAGGAGAGATACCTTCCTTCATAAACGGAAAAAAGGAATGGACACCCAGTTATAGGTTCTTATATCATTTGATATTTTCATGACGTGGTTGAAACACAGATTGTGATTTTATGTTCTTTTGAAGAATGTTGACTTGTAATGGGCTTATGCCAACTTTGGAGGTTCAGGCTGCACTATGGAATTGTACCTGCAATTGCTTTCTTGATTCCTGCTTACAGTAGAGTGAGGTGTGTGAATTGATTTTGTTGCTTTAAACAAGTTTTTTGATGTGGAAGTATCGTTATGATTTTGTTACTTTAAACAACGGTTTTTTGATGTGGAAGGTAGTCTTTGGAGTTTCAGCTTTGAGAGAGACTCGAGGGAGAGTTTGCTTTTGTCACGTGGCTGGATGAGTTTTTTTATGGCGGGTGAGGTTCCTCAATTGTTTTGTAGGATGAGATTTGTCTTTGGGGGTGGGATGAGGAGTGTATCCACTGCTCATAATTCTTTTTTGTGAGAATGAGTAATGTATTATAAAGCTGCACTAAGGAGTGCTGAGCAGTATTTACAACTTGGAAAAAATAAAATCCCTTTTCACAATCTTACATGGAGTCTAAGGAGCTAGTATTTGTTACGTGCTTCATTTATCACGAAAGGTTTGCAAATGTTGCCGAGCACAATGAGTCTGTTTTCAAATCTCTAATTTAAGTGTGTGAGAATTTTCCTAGGATAAGGAATTTTGCAACGTATCTAGCACAAAGACGTGAATTTCCATTGTTGACTTGTTGTGATTCTTGTCCTTCAGTTCCTTCAGTTAATGGAATTTTACTTAGGAAGGTCATTGCCAAGTCTCAGTCTTATTGTTTCAGGTCTTTTTTTTTTTGTTTAAGCGATTGATATCGTCAATCTATCTATATCTCTCTAGGTAGACCATTGTGTCTCTCACTTTTGTTATCCCTAAGTATAGTTGTAGACTGTATCATTCGTTCATCATTCCGTTCAAATTTGTTCCGTTTTTAATTAGGAGGTGCTACCCGGTCGTCTCCCAGTCTTCATTTCCGTGTGTGTAAATCCGAACTTTTTCCAGGAGGTGTCGTCTTGAGTGATGGCATTTTTGTTCAAGTCTGTTTTATGTGTTCAACATATGATTCTTGGCTTTGTCTGTCATGATACAACTGGTTTCTCCTTGTGTTCTCCTGTGGTTTTGGTCTACCTGTTGCTTAGTTTTGCTTAGGTAATAGGCGACTTGTAATCGCCTGTTCAAATCAGCCGGTCAACCAAGCGGAAAAGAGGAGGAGGAAGATTCAAGTGTGAGATTATAGTTGTCCCTTCTTGGTTTGTTCATGGAATGATTTCTGGAGCTAGCCTTCGAGTGTTTCTTGTTTATTTGTCTTTGGAGCAATTAGGATGCGGAAACATGTTCTTTCTTTAAATTCATTGTTTTTTGTCTTGTGGTTCGTGTCGATTACAGTTAATGTTACTTTCAGGAAAGCGTGGGCTGCTAGATACAAATCTCACAAGATGTGATTTAGCAGCTTTTATTGCAAGGTCGCTGAGAAGTTAGTTAGTGTGGCTCGCTTATATGCAATTGGTTAATTAGAAAATTTTTGATATTTCAGTTAGAAGAATTCTCACACATGTTTTTGATGATATAGGGATTGCGTCTGTCTCAACCATCTGCTGCGATTTATTGAAGCATCTCGTTCAAACAGGGAGATATTGTTTCGCTATGTGATCTGGCTCATAACGCATAATTCAACTAAGTTGTAGTTGCGTTGCCCAGCAGTTATGGATATGTAGTTTCAGTATGGTTTCTACTTACCCGGCTACTTATCCTCAAAAACACCGATATTTCCATCCCTCCTTCCCTTGGTTGCAGTATAATACTCTTTCACTGTTTGCTATTGCTACTGGATTTTCATGGTGATTCGTTAGACTGGTCATCTTACATAGTGGACCATTGAGTTTCTGATTTGAATGTGAGGGTCAATGCGCGTGCAGGCTACCCTTCGAGCTTGTTTCGCTTTCCATGTCCGCTCCATTTTAAGTGATATTTGGTTCATTATTGATGTTCTAGAATGCTTCCCATTTCAATGCTGCAACATGAACTTCTTCACATGTTTGCTGTGAGCTTTTCATGATGCTTCAGAGACCAGTGCAAATATCAGTTATGCAATGGTGGTCAAACTTTCATCCATACGGCAAAGCATTGCGAAAACGACTATTGATATTGACTGTCGGTGTCTCTATGGACCTTGCAGACTAACATCCAAATTTCCAAGTTTATGGAGGGGGGGAATTTGTTAGTCTTTTTTTTTCTTATTTCACGTCTACTCCATTGCAATGATGATACACCCTTGCAGTGGAAAACTTCTCCTTGATGTCTCTGGTGATTCCAACTCAAATATTGCAACTAAATAAGAGGTTTTCGTTTTAGCCAGGCCCAAATTGTGTATTCAGCGTCTTAAAGAATTCTATTATCTGGAAAGTGGTGGATGATCTTGATATGTTCTCATCATCTTAGAAAAGTTCTTTGCCTGCCTGAAACGATAATATTCTTTGCTAGTGCTTGGTTGGCTTTCGTCAGTTTGTGGATTTTCTGATGCTGCAGAGCATTCCAAATATCGAATCTGCGAATGGGAATCAACTCCATGGCAATCTGATTTAAGTGAGGATGTATGTGTGGGGAGGTTGTTTGAGTGCACGTAATGCTAGTTCTATTAGCATGTGTAATACAAACTGATGTAGAATGCTGTTGATGTAAGTCCTTCTATTCATCTTTCAATATTAGCTGTGAGATAGAAGGTCTCAAAAGCCCTAATATCATTGACTCACTGTCACATTGCGCTTTTTGGGCTTTGAAGGATCATCCAAAAGACAT